TACAACATAAATATAGCGGGCAAACCATCGCACCATAAAACCGGAAGACCATCGCAATCTAATCGAGACACGAACAAAACACAACCCGCGCACCATCAAAACATGACCTAAATAACATCACAATTACCAAAACACAACTCGACCGAGATACCATCGCAACACGACCGGGACACCGGCATCAGATAACCGAAACACCATCAAAATATAACGATAAAGATACCGTTATAACATGCTTAGGGCACCGTCACAATATAATCGGCCCACCATCAAAATATAATCGGACTTCGAGACCCTCGAGACACCTAAATCCCCGACTCAAAACCTTTAATCATACTCCTCTACACTCACAAAAATAATGCGACCTAAAGCCTAACCCAGACGTATCGCAATATAATCAAAATGCCATCTCAAGATAATCGAAACCCCATTACAATATAACCAATCCACCATCACAATATAATCGAAACACCGTCGCATCATAACCACGACATAACTAAAATATCATCATAACATAACCGATCGGAATACAATCACAATATATAAACGAAATAACTTTAAAATCTTATTAAAATACCATCTGCCCACCAACTCTAACCATAATCCGACGATATCCATCTATTTATTCATATTGCAAAATTCATTATTCATAATTTCAATATATAAAAATAGTTTTTTCTTTTTTTTAATAATTATATATATATATAATTTTTTATTTCATCAATATTCATCAATTTTCCTTCTTTTATAAAATATCAATTCCATCCAATATTTTTTATATTTTTCTATTTTACCGCTATTTTTACGAATATTCTCAATATATAATATTATCTAATTAAAATAATTTGTAAAAAATATATTAAAGAAATTATTAATAAATAAAATAGAATATTATTAATTAAATTTATATTTATATATTTTTTAAATAATTTCATAATCAAATATTTCAATTTTAATATAATTATTATAAAAATGCATAAAAATAGAAAAATATGTATATAATTACGATTATTATCAATATCATAATCATTATCATTCTATAATTACCACTACTACCACTACTACAACCACCACCACTAACACTACCACTACTACAACTACTACTACTTACTACTACTACTACCACTACTACTACTTCTACTACTTCTACGACGAAAACGATGACTACTGCTGCTACTACCACCACCACCATGTAGGACTCCTACTCCAACTCCTTGTCCTACTACTACTACTACTACGACTACGACTACGACTACGACTACGACTACGACTACGACTACGACTACGACTACGACT